TTCTAATGTTCTAGTAAGAGTAGGTACAGTGTTTCCTAGTTTCTAATGTTCTAGTAAGAATAGGTACAGTGTTTTCTAGTCTCTAATGCTGTAGTAATACCTTAAACATCAGAGTTTAAAAAGCTTTCTGAGATTAATCCATGTGAGTTAGTGTTATTAACATGGTAGACTATTAATCCAACTGTGGTCTGTGTTATTAGCATGTTATGCTAGTAATTTAACATTAGTCTGTGTTATTAACATGGTATACTATTAATTGAACAGTGGTCTGTGTTCATCGATGTGTGTGTGTGTGTATACACACACCCAAACTGCCATAGTGCACTGTAATTATTTATTTAATTGTTACTTGTATTACAACTACAGTACACTTGATGCATCTTAATTTTCTGTTATAGAACTCTCTCCTAGTGCAGCACATGAGCCTGTTACACCTAATAGTCCAGAAACACACAACCCTGAATCTGGTCCTGTGTTTCCTTCAGCCACACATCCAGTTCTTAGCCCTCCACCATCAATGGTGCTCTGTGAGACTGGTCTTAATAACCAGTCAACATTGGATTTGGACTTTCAGTTGCATAATTATCATGCTGCTGGAAATGGTCAATCTGTTGACTTGCATGATCATGGAATGTACACTGATTGGTTGAATATCACCCAACCTAATGTGTGTGCTAGTAGATGTTACAGTGACTCCCAGCCATATTACAGTATCTCAAATGACCATGATCCTCTGTTATCCAATCTTGGGAGTAGCCATGATCCCCTGGACCTCTTCTCTCTAGAAGACATGGGCAAGAAGTCATCAGCTATTGCCCCGGATTTTGCCACTTAGTAACCATAATATTTTGTTTTCCACTCTTGAGATCAACCATAATTCCCTGGACTTATATTCACTAAACTAGTTAAACAAGCAATTACCAGCTGTTGCTCAGGATTTTATCACTTATTGGCACCAGTCCCAAGACCAGCCATGATCTTCTATATGTCTTTTACTTAGAAGATGTGATGCTTACATGATAGTCAGGGTTAGCCTCATCATGACATGATAGGAAAGTATGTTAACACAGCCAGAGTTTAATGTTAACTTTGAAGTATATTTACTTATTGTGTGTGGGTTCATGTGAAGTGTAGTTGTTATCGCTAGGCTTGAGAACGTAGTGTTTGAGCCATCGAGCCTTTTATAATTTAATGCTCACTTTTTGTGCCTTAAGGTTTATTTCTTCCCATTTAAAAAGGAGAAAGATATTGGAATTCCATCCAGATTGCTTGAAAAGTCTTAGGTATAGTGTTAATATTACAGCTAACATCAGTTAAGGAGCATGTAGTATGTTAGTTACAATATCTGGACCGTGTATTAGTATTTTAAACTAGTTTTTTATTATTACATTTTCTGTTAGTTTAAGTTCATGGAAAAGATTGAAAACAACCAGCATTATTTCAAACTGAAAATTAAGAAGATTTTGAACACAACCACTAGAGACACTTTAATATGGTTAGTAACAGAAACAACACCACAGCACACTGAAAGTATATTATTCAGAAATTGTAAAAAGAAGTTTACTGTACTAAATCCTTCATTGATAGATTTTACAGAATCTTGATCAAAGTTTCTATAAGTTGTACAGACAGGAAATTTAGAAACACAATTCATGATTTAAAAACAAGGCAACTTTTACACCTACAACTGCTCCTTATATAAAGCTGATTGTATTACAGTGGAGATGAAAACTGTGTTATTGTAATGTTACACATGTGCCTCACAAAAAAGGTATTTGTTTTGTAAAAAGTTAAACATGAAATCTGTGTTCAGAGTCTGAGGAAAAACTAGTTGTTCTTTATTGAAGTTAGATACTGAATTGTTGTGTTCTGATTACTGAGCCTGAGGCAAAAGTGGTTGTTTTTGTTGTAGTTAGATATTGAATTGTTGTGTTGTGATTGCTGAGGCTGAGGAAAAACTGGTTGTTCTTTTTCTGAAGTTAGATATAGAATTGTTGGCTTTGATTGCTGAGTCTGAGGCAAAAGTGGTTGTTTTTTGTTGTAGTTAGATACTGAATTGTTGTGTTGTGATTGCTGAGGCTGAGGAAAAACTGGTTGTTCTTTTTTTGAAGTTAAATACAGAATTGTTGTGTTTTGATTGCTGAGTCTGAGACAAAAGTGGTTGATTTTTGTTGTTGTTAGATAATGAATTGTGTTCTGATTGCTGAGTCTGATGAAAAGCTGGTTGTTCTTTTTTGAAGGTAGATACTGAATTGTTGTGTTCTGATTGCTGAGTCTGAGGCAAAGCTGGTTGAGCTTTGTTGTAGGTAGATACTGAAGTGTTGTGTTCTGATTGCTGAGTCTGAGGCAAAGCTGGTTGAGCTTTGTTGTAGGTAGATACTGAAGTGTTGTGT